ATTAAGATTTTTATCATGACATCAAACTTTTGAACTGGTCTTCCCATATTTACAGGCTGATGTGATATGGCTCCAACAGTGCTGACAGTGGCATAAAACAGCAAACAAAAGCTAAAAATGTTTAGAAGTAATTGGGTATTATTTGAAAAATTCTTGAAAAATATTTTTTGAAACAGCAACATTTGCTTTTGAGAAAAATCTCAAAATTGACACATTTGGTTGTTTGCTAAATTAAAGTCTAAATAGATTGGCTCTGTAGATCAATGGTGTGACTTGAACTTCTATTTCTGAAGAGTGGAGTGATTGAAACAAAACATACATATCTCATCATTTAAATCAAACTTTCAAATTCACAAGAAGATATAAACATTATGCAACAGAATATTGAAGCCATTTTAAAATAGCCTTACAGAAAAAAAAGATTTAGTTGCCTAATGATCATTTATTGAAAGGTTGAATTCCATTAATCAATCTCCATTAGGTTTCGTCCTGATTTTGACAGTCCCAATTTTGACAGTAAAATTTCACACTTCTGTAATTGATCTAGCCAGTTGACCAAGATGTCAAAAATGGGACACTACCCTCCATTACTAAGGGCTATGTTTTTACCATTAAGGGATACATTGTTTACATGCAATACAATATATCCTACCAGTGAAAAGCATTTGAAATGAAATGAAAGTGATATTATGAATGATTTCTTTAGACAGTGGTCATATGCTTTTGAGTAACCACAACTAGAGATTAAGAACTACATTATCGATCAGGGTTTAACAAAGAGAAATATCTTCTTCTTTTTTCTTTCTTTTTATATTTTTATTCATTTAAAGAGGAATATCTTGTCTACTGGACAGATGCAGTTACACTGTGTCTAGATTAGAGGTGTGACGATACAGAAATTTCACGATACGATACGTGATCGAGATATCTTGAAACGATACGATTCGATTCGATGCATATCACGATATGCTTTCTTTAGTTATTTTCTTTAAAAAATCATATTTTAATAACAAGAAATTTTGACATAACCATCAATAGCTAGTGAAAATTAACAATTTTAAGGTCAACGATACATATCACGTGTCAGATAAAGTATCCCGATTATCGATACTGTCACAGCTCTAGTCTAGATGAACCTTATGGCCAGTGACAAACATGAAATTACAAATATCTTTTGTTTAACCTTGAATTGACTATGGATAAATTGGTGTATATTTTACTATATATACTACTTAAAACAAAATTAAAAGAACACCATTGTATAATTGGGAGGCTGCATTATAGTATCTACCAGTTGTCACAGATAGTGTATAGTCATGGACAAGTCAGTTTTGTTATTTTCTTTCTTTCATTTTGGACACTGGTCCATTTTACAGTGTGACCTAAGTGAAAATACCATTTAAGAAACCGGTTCAATTTGGAATCAAACTATCTGTGATTTGAGATATCTTCCTCACAGTTCATGATATGAGCATGAAAGATGTATACCAGAGGTTGCCATGGCTACCAGCCTTCTAGAACCGCATTAGCCTGCTGAGACAACTAGTGCTGTAGACAAGTAAAAATCCAGTGAATGTAATCCTCATTGACTACAAACACTTGAGGGCTGTTATTTCGGACCAGTCATCAGTTAATTTAGGTACAGATGAGAACTAAACAAAACATAGTCAACAGCTTTGTCTGAAGCAGGACTAATTGTAAATTTCGAGGACTTGTGAAATGAGGTTTCACAGGTCACCTGGACTTGTCTTTAGTTTAAAATTGAATTTTAAGGCTGGTTACTGTGTGAGCCTCTTCCAGATATCTGACCATGCTCTCCATTGATGTATTTGCCACATTTGTTCTTGTTGTATGTGATTGCCAGTTATAATCAAGTGCAACTTTCACATGGTGCCAGGGATCATGTCAAGTGTTATTTCATAAAGAAAATAAAACATTATAAATATAAGAGTCTTTGTTACATATGTTATATTTGGGATTACACTTTCATAGTAATGTACAAATTCTACAACTTTTTGAGTTGAGTCCCATCCGGGATTCGAACCCACACCCTCAGAGTCAGGCACCTAATCACCAGGTTCACAAAATCAGCTGCCTAAAATCGCTCTGTCACCGTGACAAAGAGTCTTTGTTTTTAAAAAAAATATATTGAGATGTTCAGAGGTCACTGTGATCTCGGGTATATAGTGGTCATGTGATCTAAGGCATGGCATTTCATGTGCAGAGTTGCATCCCTTAGATGTGTCAGAAGCTTATGACCGTGGTTTCTATTTCTAGATGTGCCTTGATTGTGATGCTAGAGTTCTCCGCCAGGCATACATGCTTATGTGTTACACCAAAATGCTGAACATCTGAAACTAGCCCGTTTTAGCCAAATCAAAGATGCACACACACAGAGAGACGCACGCACGCGCCCAAATCAAGCAGACAACCAAGATAAATTTAACTGGAGTACAATCACTGTGTTAATTAAACTCGAATCTCTCACTCATTCCGTGTGTCGTGAATTATTGCCGCGAATATCTTTCTTTTAATTCATCCTTCAAAATGTAAACACTCGTTGTACTGTTAACCTAAGATGTCTTTGCATATCAATGTAAGTTCTCTGGCAATTTCAGATTTTTTTTACCTTCTCGATAACTTGCAGCACTTTCGGATACAAGGATAGGTGTCGATAAATCTTTGGAATCTCACATGCGGACGGATACCTGCTGAAAACGCCGAGCAGACGACAGGAAGTTGCACGTGATGAAACAAGAACGATAACTGCACATACGTCAAAATTTTATCTCGGTACGTCATCATTGTTAGTGAATAGCATAATATATATTCAAAAAGTTATGGCATACGGCTGTACATGAAAGCGAACGCAGGTTCGAAGTGAGCTTTCCGCCCTAGTTTAAAAAAATATCAAATTTGCTGTAAATAACAGTGAGCAGGTCGACACTGCCGACAAATTCATCCACGATTAATCAACATTGAATAAATGTGAATAATATTGTTAAATTAGATTACAAAAAAGCACACTTGAAGAAATACATTTAAGTACCAGACAATAAATAATTTAAACGAAAATGACAAAGTTTCCATCACGTTGGCTTAACGCTATAAGCTAGCATCAAGACTCATGTATTCAATGAAGGGGTATTAACACTATATAAAAGGATATACTGCTTATACCCTGTCATTGGCTAAATATGAGCCTCCATACTAGTTTTAGCTTTTAGCGTTACAAGCCCCTGTAGTTTAATAGGCGGATCCAGAAATTTTCAAAGAGGGGGTGGGGGGTTTTAACATTCTAGTCTACACATGCACTAAGTTCTTAATTCTACGTTGCTTACTTTGTTACACTATGTTTCATTTACAACGTTTATACTAAGCACACTAACATGTATGTATAACCATTAATAATTCATTTATCTATAATATTATCTATTACATAACATCACTACGATAGATGCACGGCCGTGTGAGCGCAATTCCACTCTCACAACGTTCACTTGTTTCAGACCTAATATTAAAATGCGTCAGATAGAAACACCTCGCCATCCAGGGGATATCACGGTGATTATATATAGCCAAACAAAACTGTTGACAATAAGGATGAACAAAGCCTCACGTCGTGAGGTTACGATATATAGGGCATGTCTGTTTATATTTTCCAAAATGTTCACCAGAAGGGAAGACCTGACCTGTATGTTTTAAGAAGTGAAGCAGCCTTGAGTGAAAATATCAACCTTTGTCTATCACAAAATTAGATACGCATTAATGTACTTGAAAAACAATTTGTTTATTTATCACACGCCCAAAAAAAGATCAAATATCACCCAGTCAAAACTACTAAAAATGTTATTTTCCTATGAAATTTATAAGCACGATATTGAGCCACCATGCCAACCAACTCTCTTTTTCTGAGTTGCCTTTACGGAATCTGTTCTGGCTCATGAAACGATGTTTTATTTGTCCCTATTGGGCCAAAGTACGCTAAAAACAAATTCGTCGTTTATGAGTACACAATGCCATTTAGAAAGTGGTCAGATGCAACATATGTTATATTTGGGATTACACCTTCTTAGTAAAATACAAATTCTAGTTCATTTTGGGGTTGAGTCCCATCCGGGATTCCACATGTGGAAGTCGCGGTGGCTGAGCGGGTCAGGCGGCTGACTTTGTGTGCTGGCGATTTAATTCCAGACTCTGAGGGTGTGGGTACGAATCCCGGATGGGACTCAACCCCCAAAAATACTAGAATTTGTACTTTACTAAGAAGGTGTAATCCCAGATATAACATATGTTGTATTTGACCGCTTTCTAAATGGCATTGTGTAATCATAGCTTTCGGCCGTGGGAGTCGTGCCAATTTACACTTATCAGAGGGGTACACAAAGTCCGCAGTCTAACCAACCAGTTGTCCGACTTCCTTTTGTGGAAGTCGCGGTGGCTGAGCGGGTTAGGCGTCTGACTTTGTGTGCTGGCGATTAGGTGCCTGACTTTGAGGGTGTGGGTTCGAATCTCGGATGGGGACTCAACCCCAAAAAGTACTAGATTCTGTACTTTACTAAGAAGGTGTAATCCCAGATATAACATATGTTGCATCGTTAATGAGGGTGTGAGTGATTGTGTGAGGTGTTGTACATTTTAGCAAAATTCCAGAGATATAACTTCCCTGACAACAGATCCAAAATGTCCATACGAATGAGATTATGAATTGTTCTAGCTCTTTTAAAAACATATCTCAAATCATTGGGCCAGACAGCGGAGATTCATCCACTCATTCAATCTTTTCTATATATTTGCCATCCTTTTATTTATTCGTGGTAAATAAACCTAACATTCAAGAAAACCACGTTGAATACAGTACACGCAAAATGGTCGCGAAAGATCACTCTTCTACTATGTTTTGCAAAGTCATCGCTCCATCGGAGCGAGGTAAAAGGAAACACACCACACATTGTGACGTCAGGTTATTTATGACGTCAGCCCATTGATGACGTCACAACAATCAGTCTGTCCAGAAATCGTCGCGGCATGCAGCCGGGTTTCCATCCTCTGCCCTAATGTCGTTCGGGGAGCATAACACCTCGCTCCACGCGTCGGATCTGGTCCCGCCCGGTCGGACCTCGTCACGAGGGGGTGCGGCAGATGAAGAGAACCGGGACTCACGCAGTCTGAGGGCAGAGAATGAGCACTTACGACAATGCCTCAGGCTTATGCAGGAACAGGCAGAGCTGGAGAGTGCCAACCTCATCTCTTCCGTGATAGCCTGGTGTGATGATAGGTTCAGGAAGAAATTTGCTGGTAGGTTGAGAAATTCTTACAACACGGAGCGAGTGAATGATTTATTTATTTGTTTGTTCGTTGTTGTTTAACGCAGTTCACTCAAGCGATATTCCAGCTATATTTTAGTTTGTTTGTTGTCATATTCCCGAAATACGTCTAATTATGTGGTCCCTCTGTATGCCGACCATGTGTTATCGTTGTGTATGTCTAATATCATTGTACCATGTGCATCTCACAGCACACAACAATCAGATGTTTCAGAAGCAAGTACATAATTTCGCATATTCTTCAGTGACAAGTGTGTTTGTCAACTCAATTGGTCTCGGCATGTTTATAATGAACTAAAATGACGCTTCTATCTCCCGTAAGCGAGCTTTTCTGACATAAAGGAAATTTGTATAGAAAAGAGCATTAACTCTCTTTTGTCGCGAACAGTTGAACATCACTTTTTTCTGATACATAATAATGCATAATTTGCACGGTACTGTAATATGTATAGCGCCAAGGACTATGATCTATGTCAGGTGCTCTGTATTCTCTATCCATAATTGTGTTAGGGGCGACAAATTAGTTACTGAAGAATTCCTGGTCACACTCAAGGCCTGGGTTCGATTCTCCCCATCAGTATAATGTGCAAACACCATTTCTGGGTTTTACTCACTAATGACTTATTAACTTATGCAAGTCACAATTGCTAATAACACTGATCTTTGTTTTTGTGACATCACCCTGTGTCCTCTCATAAAACCTGACAACGCTGATATTTGGTGTTCGAGTTCAACCCGCATTTGTCCTATATCCTAAGGCATCATTTTGATTCATTAAGAAAATATAGGAAAAGGAGCAAATGTTTGGGGTGTGATCGGAACATTATCGAGAACTTGTGAGCGGTTTGTCATCCTCTTTTCATTGTCTCCAGCAACCCATGTTTGCCATAAGAGGCTACTAACAGGATCGAGTGTCCAAACTCATTAACTTGGTTGAAGCATGTCATCGTATCCCAGTTGCGTAGATCGATGCTCATGATTTGAATTTCTTGATTGTCTGGTCAAGACTCCGTTTTTATTAGACTGCAGTCATATAGCAGAATATTATCGAGTGCGGCATGAAACAACATACAAACAAATAAATGTTTGAATGTTTAATTTGCTAACATTTTCTGTGGTTTGGATATGAACAGTTATCTTCGACCAATGTGGCGTATATACGTAAAATATCAAAGTTGCCGCTTTGTTTCAGACATGTCCCTTGCAACGTCTTCAGGAAGGAAGGCTGCCAGTCCTTTCCGTCCCATCGCTCCCCCAGGAACAGTCAAAGCGCTTGACGCTGGTAGCAAAATCTCGCCATCGGACTATATGAGCACCGTTTCGACATTTTCCAACCTGACTCCACCATCTAGTCCTGTACGCAGTTTCAACAGAAAGCCTGAGGAGATCAACCAGTCGTATCCAGCAGCCAACGGTCTTTCCCAGCGGATGCAACCCCCTCAGCCTTCCCTCTCGAAAGAACGTAGCTACTCGCCAACGTTGTCATCAAGTCGACAACGCCAAAACTCACCAACTGGGACACTTCCCTCTGATGGCGTTTCCGGTCTTTCGGTCTTGTCAACGACAGGTCGGAGTAGCCGGACCCACAGGTCGGAGTTCACCTGCTGGGACATTTCACCCAGGCGGTACTTCCGGTCTTGCGGGTCATGTAGCCGGATCCACAGGTCGGAGTTCACCTGCTGGGACATTTCACCCAGGTGTCACTTCCGGTACTGCTAGTTATGGATCTGGCCGGAATTCACCAGTGGGCACTGCAACTAATCACGTGTCCTCCAGAGCCTCGTCGCGTGCTTCATCTCCAAACAGTGTCCATTCATCGACACTACAAGAGCCACCAGCTAGAGGATCAAACAGCCGGGATATCCAAGCTGAAATAAAACAGCGCCCTCCTTCGCCTCAGTTTTATCCAGCCCTGAGTCAGTTCTCCTCGACATTGCCCACAGAATCAGACGTGGCTGCAGCTTATGTGAGCCAATTCCCAAACAGGAGTAATTTTTCAGGCACACTTGAAATGCATGATCTCAGTTCAACCAAAGCAAGTCTCAAACGTCCAGAGAGTGCTCCATTCGTTCCATATGCGCACGAGAGTAGTTTCCCGGGTCAGCAACCATACGCCTCACCCAACCAATCTCTGATTCAGTCAACAACCCAGGGCCAGCCACCCCATGGAGTGAGACCTTCAGCTTCGCCCCAGCATCAGTTGCGTCAGGTACATATTCCAAGGTCCTCGTCTCCAACACAAGGTAGCAAGGAACTGCCCTACCAAAACCAAGCAGCTATTCCACAAGACCAAAGTACCTTCCAATCACCGGCATATCCTGGATTATCCTACAGTGCACAGCCAACGCTGCCAGCCAAGAGTGTTGTCGTGAATGAAGAATATGGAAGGGAGAGAACTCTTACTCCAATTCCTGAAATGAAGAAGACACTCACAAAAAATATGTCCAACATAGTTGAGGAAATGGAGGAGGAACTGAAAGGGTTGAGCTCGCGGTCAGTAAGTCCCGCAGAAATGATCTCCATCAGCCAGAAGTATGGCCCACCAAAAGCAGCGTCAACACCTAAGAAAGGTGAGAATTTGATATATGAGTGAGTGAGTGAGTGAGTGAGTGAGTTAATATTTAACGTCACATCGGCAATATCTCAGCCATATCGTGACGAAAACAATTTAAACAATAAAAAAGAAAACATTTTGGAGAGTAAAACCCGTCGACGATGAACAGTAGAAACACTAGAGTATCACAGATATGAACATTAAACTAGCATGTAAAACTAAAAGATTTTAATTTAAGAAGACAATACAATATAAAACACGGGCTATAGATCGCCAACAACTGAAGGTAGATCACCATACCAGGGACCATGGGTACTTACATTACGTTTGCTACCTGCATGGACCCTAGCTTGATCTACACCATCCCTTCAGCCGCTGGCGATGGTAGGAATTAAAATCACAAAAATACAATTTGATATATGAATGAATGGTCAGAACGAAAAATATGTTTAGACCAAGTATAACTCAACAGATAGAACTAACACATTAACAACATTAACGGTATAAAAATATAAGTTTGTATGTTAATATTAATTTCTGTATTCGTCATTAATACAAATCAGTACAAATTGTTTAAGTATGTATTGAATGACAATGCAATATATACATTCGGTTAAACGCCGTCATTCGTTTACAGCCAATATTATGTTCATGAAGTTACTGAGTTATTAGTTTGTCCGCTTTGTATATATTGGCATCCTCGATAATCTCCAGTGTTTACTTTAGGATCACTCTCTACTATACCCTGGATGCATCCACGGATTGGGAATGCGGCGCCAGCAAAGGGAGGTAATATAATTATGGGGCCAAGCCGTGGATGCATCAAGGGTATAGTGGAGAGTGATCGTTACGTATACCCTGGAGATTATCGAGGATGATATATTGGTAACTCACACAAAAAGTGTACAATTTAAACTGGATTACACCAAACAGTTACAAATTCTCTCCCCAGGAAGAACCTCACCACGAACGATCCACAGCCTGATACAGCGCGACAAGAAAAGGAAGTTACTCTCCCCTAGAGGTAAATTTCGACACACATGATGTGTGTGTTAGTGATTCCATTATCAGGATTCCCCTCACAATAAATCTTAGTGAGTGAGTTAAAATTTAAAGTCACAGTAATATTTCAGCCATATCGTGACTAAAACAAGTTTAGAATTCACCATAAATACATGTAGAGTATAAAAAACCTGTCATCGAAGGACAGTAAACCGACTAGAATATCACAGTATCAAGAAATAAAACTAGCATCTCTCTCTAAAATTGGATTTTGAATTAGGACAATACAGTATAAACATGGGCTATAGATCGCTAACAACTGAAGGTAGATCACCACACCAGGGACCATGGGGACTTACAGTGCTTTTGCTACCTGCATGGACCCTAGTTGGATTTACACCATCGCTTCAGCCACTGGCGATTGTAGGATAGTTAGGCCATAATTTAAAACCAATAAATCATAAGATGCCCATGTATCCCGGGCTGTTTAAATGGATCTCTGTGTCTTCAAATACAGAAGTCCATCAGTGGGTCCACAACACTTTATTCTGGATTCAATATGTATACATACATGAAGTTACAACAATGACTAGGCGGCAAGTCGGAGCAGAGACCATATAATAATCTGTTATATAGTCTCTGGTCGGAGGCGATGGTCAGCCAACCTGCCTAGTCGCTGTCTCAGGGTCAAGACTCGACTAACACAAAGCATTCTCAATTTATCCCTAAGGGTAGAGTCCTCATCAGACCGTCACGTGTTGTATTTGTGACAGATGTCTGTTCAGCCTTCAGTACCCCGCACCTCATCCACAATGTCATGCTTCAGTGGCCAACCGGCCTTTGTCTAGTTTTGATTATATGCAGCTAATGACTCTATGGTGGTGGCCATGATGACAATGGTCAAGCTGTGTTGATTTCCTTTGTATTGACAGCATGGCCATTACTTAGAGAGATATTCAATTGACATAACTCAAGGAATATTATAAATATCCCTGATAAACCCTGTTCCAAAGTGCCTACGATACATGCTTGTTCGCACCCTATGACCTGTGACCTGTTCCACAGAGCAATCTTACTGTTTCTTGGGCGGTGGGGTAGCCTAGTGGTTAAAGCGTTTGCTCGTCACGCTGAAGCCCCGGGTTCGATTCCCCAAATGGGTACGCTGTGTGAAGCCCATTTCTGGTGTCCCCACCGTGATATTACTTAGTGTTTCAATTCTCGTAGATTTGTGTCAGTATATGGACGATCGTTATAACTCCACAGCTCTGAATGGTGCTGTCACCTCATGTCATGGGCGTTTTCTCAGACCAGACTTATTTACGAGCCCAAGTAATACAACTTAACTAGTTTGGATACATGCACAGTCCTGACTGTCCATTTGAAATCATCGAACTTAAACCAGACCTATCTCCGTATTTGACTTATGAATTTTTTTAGGCTGTCATAATTTCGGGGTTTTCAATCAAGGTACTCAATCCTGATGAGAGAAATAGATAAGACAGAAGTTGGGTCTAAAACTGATGAAGGAAGATTAAACTGACCTTCAATTGTTACTGTATGTGTAATGGTTAGCTTGGGTATGAATTTTATCACCAACGAAAAAAATAACTTTCACGTCGGAATGAAAATTGGGGAACAAAAGAACCAATACGGACAATCTTATAGGTATGCCCTTCCTTCCAGATACTGTTCCATCCCGAAAGTTCTCGGACGATCAAGCCTGCCATGTTCATAAACAACAATTTGTCGTAGATAATCTCTTGCTCTCAATATTTTACTACCACTTCAAGCACTTGTAGCCACTGATAATTACTGCAAATGCATGGACAAACCTCCATTCTGCCCCATATGTAAAATAACATTCATTGATATGATGTTTGTGTTTAGCCATTTCATAAGCCTCCTCACAACTCAATTTACTTATTTACACGTTGCTATGGTTAGCAGTTAAACCAATGGCAATATAATCGGCCAGCGTCGTCCTGTTCAATACCTTATTACCTGACAAGCTGGGTTCTACTCTACTTTGGACAATACATTTTCAAGAATTGAACCAGCAGTGTCTCATCCGGGGCGTGAAATATATGAGGGCAAAGAAAGACTATGTAACATATGTTATATTTGGGATTACACTTTCTTAGAAAAGTACAAATTCTAGTACTTTTTTGAGTTGAGACCCATCCGGGATTCGAACTCACTCCCTCAGAGTCAGTCACCTAATCGCCATCACACTAAGTCAACCGCCTAGCCCACTCAGCTACCGCGACTTCCACAAACATGGAAGTCGGACAACTGGTAGTCTAGACTGCGGACTTTGTGTACCCCTCTGATAAGTGTTAATGTGCACGGCTCCCACGGCCGAAAGCTATGATAACACAATGCCATTTAGAAAGCGGTCAAATGTAACATATGTTATATTTGGCATTACACTTTCTTAGTAAAGTACAAATTCTAGTACTTTTTTGAGTTAAGACCCATCCGGGATTCGAACTTTGTGTGCTGGCGATTAGTTGCCTGACTCTGAGGGTGTGAGTTCGAATCCCGGATGGGTCTCAACTCAAAAAAAGTACTAGAATTTGTACTTTACTAAGAAAGTGTAATCCCAAATATAACATATGTTACATTTGACCACGTTCTAAATGGCATTGTGTAATCAAAGAAAGACTAGTTTCCATTATATTTTAACAATACAATAGACTGGAGTCATGGTGTCAATGTCATGAGTCAATTTCAGCTGTCCGTAAAGTAGAGATTGTTATGCAACCTACAAGCACACGCATGATCCTGACAAAGATAGAAGTGTTATCAGGGTGAATCAAAGATTCGAACCCACAATCAAAGGACTTCGTCTCGGACTTATTATCCAGGAGTAAAAGTATATTTACTTTCTGTTCACATGGGTATTTAACCAATAGGAGTATATCTGATTTGCATACCACCCAGACATCTGATTTTGAAGACGTTTGGTCATTTAATCTTCAGACACAAAATGAGTAGGCTGTTGATTTTAAAACGCACAAGAGATCTGCAGTATTCGTCAACTACAGGACTTTCCTAGGTCTAACAAAGGACAAGAATGGTTGGAAAAAGACCCGTTCAAGAACCTGGTGGATGGGCATTGTTCAAGGCACCTTTGATGATGACCAGTAGGTAGAGAATTTTCGACTGACTAAAGAAACGTTTGCTGAACTGGCACCCTCATTAGTAAGGACGTGTAGCAGTGACCTGAATCAGTTCAATATCGAAACGTGTAAACCCCCTTGTAACGATTTGAAAAATAGCTTACGATGTGTCGCGAAAATTAGAACATACCCTATTTCACGACTGTCCCATCCGATTCGAACTCAAACCCTCAGAGTCAGGCACCTAATTGCCAGCACACAAAGTCAGCCGCCTAACCCGCTCAGCTACCGCGACTTCCACAAAAAATGGAAGTCGGACAACTGGTAGTCTAGACTGTACCCCTCTGATAAGTGTTAATTGGCACGGCTCCCCGAGCTACAGGCCGAAAGCTATGATTATTACACAATGCCATTGTTGAGACCTATCCGGGATTCGAACTTTGTGTGCTGGCGATTAGGTGCCTGACTCTGAGGGTGTGAGTTCGAATCCTGGATGGGTCTCAATTAAAAAGTACTAGAATTTGTACTTTACTAAGAAAGTGTAATCCCAAATATAACATATGTTACATTTGACCACTTTCTAAATGGCATTGTGTAATCAAAGAAAAACTAGTTTCTATTTTACTTCAATGTCATGAGTTATGCAACCTACAAGCACAGGCATGATCCTGACAAAGATAGAAGTGTTATCAGGGTGAATCAAAGATTAGAACCCACAATCAAAGGACTTCCTCTCGGACTTATTACACCACTCTCTTACGAGCGCATGTGGTGTCTCATTGGGGCACGTGACGTTTTTCGAAGTATGGCTCTAGTTAAAAAGCATTGAATGGGTACCAGATAGGATGAAATGGTATCGTGCCTTTTAGGAAGCACGGGTTGTATACGTCCCAGGGTGGTGATGAAAATGGAGGCCCCGACATGTACAATGTCAAGATGTTGGTGGAACCAGTCTCACACTTTGATCGTACGCAGATTTCAGCATAATTCTAGCATCATCAGGACGGTGTACACAAATGGTGTTACAAACGTAATCAAGTGCCACCAGGCTAATAATGTATCTGCAATTTGTTCTGTTATATTTTCAGCCCCCATCACGTATTGGTATATACATGTACTTTCATTTGCACGTCAATTTACCTTCTTTTGTGATCAGATGCATCGGAATAAGCCCATGGTTAAATGTGTTATACATTCTCTTGGTTTAAACAATGCGACATATCGTCGAGTAATAAAAATGACTAATAAATATTTTCAGGGAGTAGAAGCCCAAGTCCAGTGTCTGATGACTCGGCCAGGGTTCCAGTAAGACGAAACACCGCAGCCGTCAAACCATCCTACAGAATCTTGGGAGAGATTGCATTTCAACTGGAACGTCGCATCCTCGACTACGTCTTCGCCAGGAACAAACCAGAAGACAGGGATCGCGCCAAGCGACGTTTCTACGGCTACACCGTCAGCAACATCCCGTTCATGATCGCCAAGGAAGTCCGTAGACATGATGGGTCAAAGGATGACCAACTGGAGTTCAAGCTCAACTACAGACTCCGTTACACGGTGACAACCCTTGGACCCTATGGCTATAAGCTTGACAGACATGGCATCTTCGCGCAGGAAATGATAAACAAGTATGGACTTCTTAGCAACGCTCCAGATCGCAGAACACTGGAAGCCTTTGGTCTCGCAGATGCCGACACTTTGCGAGGTTTTGTGTCACTTCTATCTGAGACTGAAACAGAGAAGAAGGACAACCTCATCCTTTTAGAATGCCTTATGTTGATGGCTCACGATGATGGCCGCGCCGTGTTCTTGTGGTGATGCCTTGTTTAATATCATTATGGTTTTGCATGTCATAGCGTCGTATTCTAGCGTTTATTATTTCGGCAGTCAAGTATATATTTACGTCCCAATCTGGTTTCAAATTGTAATTGCTTTCCCACTGAAAACTACGTCTTAACCCGGTAAATGTATCGTCAAGTATAATCCCACAGCAACTTTAGAAATTGTCTTACCTCCTTGTACTATGATATCCTTTGCTTTTTATTTGGATAAATGTGTGGTGCACAGTGGTACTTGTTGTATTTCTATTAGTGAATTTGATAGTCAGTAGCACTAGCGTTTCTAAAAGCCATGTGGTAATGGCTACTCTGGGTACACACTTTCACCTTTACACATACACTGACTGAGTTTGGTTTTACTTATCACCCATGTGGGGTTTACACATACAAACAACATGGACACACATGTACTGTCGTCGGAGTCAGTTATAACAGTGAGAAATATTATAATCAGCTTGATGTGTACGACCGACATACTTCTCAAAAGAAAGTAGAAACTCTCGATTCTTTCAAAGTATAGTTGACAGATGAATTATAGTAATATGAAAGAATGAGGCTCGTTTTTAACTTTATATCCCTGATAGTAATTTGTGTCACATAGTAAATCAATGGTGAGAGGTGACACTAGTTTACATCAACTGCATCGGCGAAATGGTGGTTTGTTATTTAACGCCGCACATAGTAATTGCCCAGCTATATGACGGCGGTCTGTAGATGATCAGGTCTGGACCAGAGCATACAGTCACTGACGTCAAGAGCATCGCTCTATATGTAACTGCAATACGATGACATGCATCCGTTGTCACCCATCCTGCCCACGCTTCCGCTTACAACAAGCATGGGTTGCTGAAGACCAATTCTACCCAGGATCTTCACGGATTGCGAAAGAGTGAGCGAGTTTGGGTGTAACAATGTTCAGGGCGTTATTGCAGACACCAATGTCTGAAAACCGATCCAGATCATATATAGTTGGTGTGAAATAATGAATGAATAGAGAGGCGCGCGGACCTCTGAGAAGACAGGTGGTTGGAGAGAGAGAGATGAAGTTATAGATGGCTAGTGATAGATAGTGAGCTGAAAGTAGATTGCTTGGTTGAGAGGTGGGCGCGGACGTCTGAGAGGACAGTCACGCACATAATGGTAAATTTGGAGTGACAACATACCTATCCGTGAAACAATATATTAATGAAACAATAGGCGAGAGCTTTCAATACAACTGATAGCTCATGACAGGTAATTAATGACAGATGGTCGGATTGGGGTGTGCTGATAGTTATAGCCCGGGAAAGCCACTTTTAAGAAAACAAGAGTTGAAATGGTGTGGCTCAACCGGCAATGGGTATGGTTGAGTGATCGTGTGAATGTGGCTCTCCCGGCAATGCATTATTAGCTAATCCATGTTACCGTAAATAATGCAGATTTTTTAATATCGCTCTAAATTAGCCGAATTAAGTCAAAATGAGTTGAATTTTGTGTCATGATACTCATAAACATACACTCATTCATTTACAACCTTCAAAACTTGGAAAAACATGTATTTTGAGTAAAGGTAAATATTCTCGCCCATGGGCCAAAATGTTTTTCGCCTATTGGCGAGATTTTTTAACATTGCTCTAAATTATCCGAATTAAGTCAAAATGAGTTGAACTTTGTGTCAGGATGCTTCTTAACATACACTCATTCATTTACAACCTTCAAAACTTGGAAAAACATGTATTTTGAGTAAAAGTAAATATTCTCGCCCATGGGCCAAAATGTTTTTCGCCCATGGGCGAGATTTTTATACATTGCTCTAAATTATTCGAATTAAGTCAAAATGAGTTGAATTTTGTGTCATGATGCTTATAAACATACTTTCATTCATTTACAACCTTCAAAACATGTATTTTGAGTAAAAGTAAATATTCTCGGCCATTGGCGAGATTTCATATTATCACTCTAAATTAGCCGAATTAAGTCAAAATGAGTTGAAATTTGTGTCATGATGATTTTAAGCATACACTCTTTCATTTACATTCTCCAAAACATGAATTCTGAGCGAAATTAAACATTCTCGCCCATGGGCCACTGTTCGCCCATTGGCCGGCCCATGGGCGAACGAGTTTAAATTTTGAGTTTTCGATAAAAACATTTTTCATTTTTTCATCCTTGGCATATATTCATAAGAACTGCATGTTTACTTTTGTCGAATCCCTTGTCAGAAAGTGACCACAGTGCGGAGAGTTTCTGGACTTTTTTGAGTCCAGAATTAAATTGTGACGTGTTGAATGTTCCTTTTGTAAATTGCCTGGAGTCCTATGAAATCCACTTATTGTTAGCATTGTCTAAATGATACTCCTTGATGATGATGATGATGATGTGTGTGTATGTGTTTGTGTGTGTGTGTGTGTGTGTGTGCGTGCGTGCGTGCGTGCGCACGCTTAGATGACGAACCAATATACCAACACTCATGGATTATCAAACTCCCCAACCAAAAAGAAGTCCACTATATCTATTGATTATTGGCCAGGTTTTGCTAGACTCTTGAGAAGCCTCCATTAATACTAAATCCCTTTGAAATTGTAGAGTCAGATAGATACTTTTAACTTACGTCAGTTCGATGCCCATAACTACTTTTCACCTCCGGCACCTACTCTTCTCAGAATTTGTCTTTTGCAGACTCTTGCCTCCCCCAAGTATCTGATTGTCATGTGGTACAAATATGCGAACTACATGTATTGAGAGATATTGCCATGCCAAAGTTCATATATGGTGCCTGGAAAACGATTTTTAATTTTCTAAATCAAAACCCAATTGTATACACTTCTGCAGAAAATACAAACCCCATAAAGACCCTGAATTATCTTTAAATGTCACACCCATTAAAGGTGTGAAGGAAGCATGGTTCCGTGGTCTCATCTTTGACTCGGATTTATCCTTTCTGTCACATGTTAAATATCTAAAAGCCAAATGCCTGAAGGCACTCGATTTGTTGAAAGTCGTCTCAAACTCAAAGTGGGGAGGAGACCAAACCACCCTCCTCTTACACTTATACATCACTGGTCCGATTGCAACAATGATTACCATCGTATATGGTGGAGCCTGTAAAAACAACCTCAAACTAATTGGTACTCTTGTCCGCCACCTCTCTATTGAGAGTCTCTCTCCGATGAGCCATCTCTAAAACTCCGCATACCAAATTATCTTTACAATGTATCACAAAGCTGTATTCTAATGAATCCAATCCTACACACAAGTATGTTTTAATCCTCTTTATGAGAATCTGTATAATAAAAAATCTTCACTTCTTCCACCTCTTGGGATAAGAATTAAACCATTCATTTCTGCTGCTGGCATTGAGCTGGAAAATATATATCCTTCCCGTCTTCTTTCTTCTCCTCCTCGGCAATTAGTAAGGCCCAAAGTCCACCTTATCTTGAACACATTAAAAAGTCAGAAATAAATTAATTGCAATATAAACGGGAATTTAATGAATTAAAACAAATAATTATGATACGTTTAAATCTTTATTTACAGATGGACCCAAGGATGGTGGCGCAGTTGCTTTTGCCACTGTCATTGGATCCAAAACGATATCTTCTCGATTACCGGATAACAGCTCTTTTTTCACAGCTGAAACTAACGCCATATTAACAGCTCTTAAACATATTAATAAACACCATAACTATAAACAATACATAATCTTTTCAGACTCTCTTCCTTGCCTTCAGGCTATAAAAAGTATTTCTTGTAAACATCCACTCTCAATTGAAATTATTGAATTATATAATCATCTTGCTACTGGCCAATACGGCATCGTCCTCTGTTGGTTACCCTGACATGTTGGTTGAAATCTCTAGTAACACAATGGCTAAAGCAGCACTCAACAAATCTGTGACACCACTTCTCATTCCATACTCTGATTAAAAAGCTATCATTAGATTGTACATCCGTGATCTGATGCTGAAGAAGTTGGAAACTCAAGTAGGTATTTATAAATTACATGAAGTAATACCCTATATTGGTACGTCCCACAATTACCTTTTTCAAGTTTTGAAAAATGCACGATTTGTACGAAGTTTTTGAACAGCTGCGTTGTTGTCGGGGATCATGTTGCGTTTTGGCGAATGTTTTCTGCTTTGGTTCAAACCTGCACCAGCGTCTTTGTTTATTTTAAAGTGATATCCTTCTTTTGGCATGGTAGTTTAGTTGTTTTCGAACTCTTGACCTCTTGATCACTCTAATGCCTTTATTTATGTAAAGTCATTGTAAAGTTTAACGTTATTAATATATTTCTGTTGAAATCAGGTCACCCCTAGAGAGAAAGAGTGACAGAGACCCCATTCGCCTCAACTCATCTAGATTCAACCGACCAAACAGCCCCACACTTCCAGTTACCAACACTTCAAAATATCTATATACTATCTATATCTATAACTATATAACAATTCTTCAGAGACTGTCACACATTATCCGATAGAGTGAGTGAGTTAAAATTTAACGTCATCTCGGCAATATTTCAGCCTTATAGTTACGAGAAATGTGGGGCATACACAATAAATACACGTAGGTAAATAACCAGTCATCGACGGACTGTGAAATAACTAGAGTATCACAGATATGGATATAAAACTAGCATGGAAAACTAAAACATTTTAATTAAAGCAGACAATACATATAAAACACGGGCTATAGATTGCCAACAACGGAAGGTAGATCACCATACTAGGAACCATGGGGACTTACATTACTTTTGATACCCTGGTTGACATTATCCGACATTGCGGACATAAGTTCTGGTTCTGTCGATAAATCATGTTAGTCAAGCACCTTCTAAAGTCAGGTCAAGTGTTTATTTGAATAATAGCACATTTCACCATAACCCATGTAAACCAAACTGATTTTACAGGCTCAAACTTCCAACACCCTAACAATCCATTTAAAATATTGTTTAGTTGATTAATTATGTAGTTTCAAAAGGAGAATTTTATACAACATACTACTCTGTGGACAACTGTTCTTTCGATGTCAATATATCGTGTTGAAGCCGCGGTGGCTGAGCAGTCGAGGCGTCTGACTTTGTGTGTTGGCGATTAGGATCCCCTCTGAGGGTGTGGGTTCGGGACTCAACCCAACAGAAGTAATAGAATCTGTACTTTACTAAGAAATTGTAATCCAAAATATATCATGTTACATTTGACCACTTTCTAAATGGCATTGTGGATTTCAATATTTCGTGTTTTTCAAGCCAG